ATGGAGGGGAGTATAAAGCTTTGTTTCTTTCATAATTTGATCTCCTTTAGACTTGTTGAACATCTTTATAAATATATTTTTCTATATATTTACATTATATTTACACATATATAATAGATGCAAAAAAAAATAAATAGAAAATGGGGTTGACTAACTTTTAATTGGCTTCAGTTGGGGAGAAAAATGTGTGAATCTTGGGTGAAAGCTGTATGAAAAATTTTTTATAAATTCTGGTCTAAACCTTCCACCCCATTCTAAGTCCTATACTCTCTACTTTGTAATGGAAAGATGTGCATAACTACCTAATCTGAGAGCACTCCAATGTGGTCATGTGATCCATTCCCAGTGCCAGCTTCAGAGGGAGAGGAGGGACCGTGGACAATGCATGAGCCATAGTAAGTCTATAGTAAATCACTGCATAGGGATTGGAGCTGTTGTGGCTGCTTTCCTCTCTCCTGAAGCCGGCTGCTGGGGAAATCATATGACCGGACTGGAACACCCTTGGGTTATGTAAGTCCTTTAGATTGTAAGCTCCATGAGCAGGGCCCTCCTATTCCTTCTGTACTGAAATGTATTGTAATTGTACTGTCTCCCTTATATTGTAAAGCGCTGTGCAAACTGTTGGCGCTATATAAATCCTGTATAATAATATTGTAAGTATAGACCTCTTTACTTTACAGGGTAGTTAGCATAGGACTTGGAAATGAGGGTGGGAATAGGTTTAAGCTTGGATAAGTGTAGCCGAGCCAGTGAGAGACACAGTCATTCTATTCCTCCATCCATGCTAAACTGCATGAATGGAGGAATCTCCTTTTTTTTTTCTTTTTTTTTTTTTTTCCCAGGCTGCTGCTGGTGCGACCTCAAACATTGACTGCATTTTATAGGATGCTAATTTTCCACTTCGCTCATTCAATTTTTACATCAATTTTTTTTTTGTGGTTGTGCTTGCAGAGCCACTTGCAGCCACAGTTTTGGCAGGACCTTTTATTCTTGGTTCACACAAGCCCACAAAGTAAAACGCAGCATTTTATTGTGTGGGCAGCTGTCAGCATGAGCTCCTGCAGAAAGCCGTGCCATATGTGCTTAGTTAAGTGTTTTTTGTTTGTTTTTTTTGTTTTTGCTTTTGCTTTGTTCTTTTTTTCCTTTCATGTCTTCACAACACTATGTGCACTGTGGAAGAATGCAGACATGTAGCATTTTTCTGCATTGAACAGCATTTAGCATTTTTCTGCATTGAACAGCATTGTGGTACGAACACGGCACATAGAAAACAGTTGCTTTCTATGTCTCTAGCATTGATTTGAGTATATCCAGTTTGAAAAAACACAGGCCACGGCACATGTGAATGAGATCTTACCCTAGGTTCACACCTAAGCATTTTCTGCAGTATATGTCTTGTCTTGCACTTTCTATGCAAAGTTCCACTGTAACCAGCTGGCTGTAACCTCAGCACCCCCTTACTCCAGACCTTGTCCAGGGATGAGAACAGCGATGTGAATTTATTGAGTGATTTGCTAGTTTTCAGTGGTGCGTGATTAGACGCACCACTTTTTTTTTTGCTTATTAGCTTTGCCATAGGTTCACACCTAAGCGTTTTCCACAACGTTTTGCAGAAATGCAGTACAGTCCATTTAACCTGATTTCCGGGACACATCTGTGCATTTTTCACCCGTGCGTTTTTTTTTTTTTTTTTTTTTTTTTAAAGGTCAGGGACTTTTTTTTTAATGCAAAAAGTTGAGTTTTTGGTTCCATAGACTTCAATGGAAATGCTGCATAAGAGCATATATTGCGTTTTTTTGCCACGTTTTTGATGTGTTTTGAGTTTTAAATCTGCCTAGCAACAAGAAAAAAAAACAAAAAAACACAGGTGCCAAAACACAACTCAAAATGCAATGCAGAAAGGGCTCAAACACAACCTGCATATGTGTGAACCTAGCCTTGGGCAGCCCATTTGTATCTGACTTTCCTTCTGTGCTATTGTATTCTGACAGTGGGGAGCCTTCCCAACAATCAGAATACCATGATTCAAGCTTTAGTGATCAGGAAAACCCAACAGGCTGGTTGTACAGAAGTCGATCGGTAGATTGACTTCTATACAACCAGGAGAGGGTGTCCATACATAGATTGAAATTCAGCCAGGTCCTGCTGAACTGGCCAAATTTCAATCCACGTATGGCTGGTTTTTGATTCAGTTCTGATATTGGACAGGGGTGAATATGTCCGCTTTGGCCTGGTTCACACCAATGCGTTTTTTTTTTTTTTTTGTGCTTTTTGCAGAAATGCAGTACAGGCCATTTTAACAAGATTTCCTATGGGACATGTTCACGTGCTTTTTTGAGCTGCTGCGTTTTTGGAAAGGGTCAGGGACTTTAACTGCCAAAAGCAGCGTTTTTGCTACAATAGAGTTGCATGGAGGCACTGCTGAAACATATGTAGTGCGTTTTGTGTTTATATTCTGCCCAGCAACCAACATATTTCCAATTTAACAAAAAATGCTGAAAAAAAAAAAAACCTGCTGAAAAAAAAACACAAAACAGTGGAAAAATAGCGCGTGCTAAATGGACAAAGTACACACTGCATTGGTATGAATGGTGCATTGTTAGTGTCTGAGGGAAGAATGTTGCTTGTCATTGGTGTCATTGCTGTGATGAGAATGGTGCAAAGTCCCCCCCCCCCCCCCCCCCCCCCCTCCGTTGTTAGTGTCAGCAGGAGGATCATTGCCTCAATGGCTGGATAAAAGCAAGCAAAGGGCTGCAGTTTGGTCTAGAGCAGCGGTCTCCAAACTGCGGCCTAGGGACTAGAATGTGTCCAGTGGGAGTAAACAATGCCCAATCTTTGGTATTAGGGGAGAAATAGTTGGTGTCATTGGGAGGAATAGTACCACATTTTTGTTGTCAGTGGGAGGAATAGTGCCCCATTGTTGGTGTCAGTGGGAGGAATTGTGCCCCATTGTTGGTGTCAGTGGGAGGAATTGTACCCCATTGTTGGTGTCAGTGGGAGGAATGGTGCTACATAATTGGCGTCAGCCAGCGGGAGGAATGGTGCCTTGTCATTGGTGTCAGCCAGATGAATGGTGCAAATTCCCCCCCCCCCTCCGTTGTTCGTTTCAGCAGTAGGATCATTGCCTCAATGGCTGGATAAAAGAAGCAAAGGGCTGCAGTTTGGTCTAGAGCAGCAGTCTCCAAACTGGGGTGTCCTGGGGACCTGAATGTGTCCAGTGGGAGTAAACAATGCCCAATCTTTGGTATTAGGGGGAAAAATTGTTGGTGTCATTGGGAGGAATAGTACCACATTTATGTTGTCAGTGGAAGGAATAGTTCCCCATTGTTGGTGTCAGTGGGAGGAATTGTACCCCATTGTTGGTGTCAGTGGGAGGAATTGTACCCCATTGTTGTTGGTGTCAGTGGGAGGAATTGTACCCCATTGTTGGTGTCAGTGGGAGGAATCGTGCCCCATTGTTGGTGTCAGTGGGAGGAATTGTGCCCCATTGTTGGTGTCAGTGGCAGGAATTGTGCCCCATTGTTGGTGTCAGTGGCAGGAATTGTGCCCCATTGTTGGTGTCAGTGGGAGGAATTGTGCCCCATTGTTGGTGTCAGTGGGAGGAATTGTACCCCATTGTTGGTGTCAGTGGGAGGAATTGTACCCTGTTGGTGTCAGTGGGAGGAATTGTACCCCATTGTTGGTGTCAGTGGGAGGAATAATGCCTCAAGGGCTGGATAAAGGCCGCAGTTTGGAGACCACTGCCATAGATTTACATGGGTGCTTGCGTGCGGCCCCAGCCACCTAAACAAAGAACCATTTCCCAGTGTAGAGGCCTCAGCGCCCGTGTGAATGAAATGTATTCTGCTGCTGCTTTTCATATTTGTAGTAAATAACCACAAGCCTCACCAGAGAAAATGACTGGTTTGCTCCATTTAAAGAAAACTGTTCATTTATTTGGCCACATTTATAAAAATTGGAGGAAAGGCAGGTGGGGACATTTTCTCTAATGACCAATTAGTCTCCTCCAGCTGTCATGTACTAGTCTATTTGGTCATTTTATAGTAATGGAAGATTTGGTCGGCAGTACATTTTGTAGTCAGGTGTCTTCTGTGCCCTGCAGGGCATTGGTGTGGTAATGATTGTGACCTCTGTGGCCCTCCATCCTCAGCACTGCATTGAAGACTTTAATTGAGTCGCCGTTCTCTAAAGTCTATCAAAGGAAACATTGAGGCTGCCAGTGGTTTATTCTGAAATGCTTTGATTCTTTTGTTTCACTGACTGGAATCCCATACAAAGCAAGTGAAGTCAAAACACCTGATCCACAAACTGCACTGCTACCCAGTCAGTAATTCCGGAAGTCTTGGCTCAGCATGGCAGCCAGACAGCTAGCATTTTCTAATAGAGCACCGCTTTCACACAGAGAATGAGGGTCCATCTCTACAACATGCTGGCAGAGGCTTTTCTACTCAGGTTGTGGTTGTTTAGTAAAGAAAATGCCCTGTAAAGCCGTGTTTACTGCCCCTCTGAAAAGTGATTTGTGATAGATTGCTGGTGATATGTCCCCTCCTGAATGCTTGTTTTAACTTACGAAAGCCTGTAGCACTGCGCCACAACATTACATGCAGTTGCGACACTGGACCCATGCACTGGAATGCCTTGCGTTTTGGCAAAGATTCCATCTTCTAATCGTGTTCGCTTGTATATTTTTTTTACAACACTGGAATTGAAATTGAAACATGGCCACTGGTCTGAGAGGGTGGCAAAACTGTAGCTCAACCACCCATTCTTACCACCCCTCAACTACACATGTAAACAGGACGTTACTAAGCCCACAACCGTAAAATCATTCTGTGTATGCAGTAAAGCATGCTTGATATACTCAGTGTAGAACATAAGAGGTTAATCCTCTGCATTGTGTAAAAATGCTGTTTGATCCTGACTTCTCTTATCCTCCCCTTCTTCCAGTGTCCCCCTCTTATCTCCTGATAAGACATATCGTGTGGAGATACTTTGCACATGCTCAGTTTGGTGTGTATTGCTAGAGGAGGTTTTTTTTTTTTGGGGGGGGGGGGGAGTGCATGTAATCGGCACAGGGCCATTGAGCACTGTCCAGACAGGTCAGGGGTTCTGCATCCTCCTAGAGCAAATTGAAAACTCATCCTACAAGCTTTAACCAGTGCTCTGCTGAACACTGCTAGAAGTCACAAGACTGCTGTAACTGCTGATGAGAAAAGGTATTTAGCAATTTTATATTTAATAAAATAATTGCATTTCCATGTACTGTGGGAGACCAGATAGAGAATGCAGGATCCTGGGTTTAGTAACACTTTAAAGTGACATTAAACAATGTCTTTATATTCCAAACATAATCCATGTGCATGCATGTAATAGTCTTGTAAACTATTTTCTATGAAGTTGTTATTGTGTTTTTTTTCTGTTTCTTTGTGATGTCCTCTATGAGCTTCTGAACCTCCCTTTTTCCCCTCTCACTTATGTCTGTATGGAACGAGCAATGCATGATAGTTGTAGTCATGTGCACTGTTCTGTGCACACTACAAATCCCATAGTCCATCTTGGGAGCGAGCACGAGAGGGTGGCTATGTTCCTGCATACAGATGGACTATTGGAGAAAGAATGGAACCAACCTCTAACACAAGCTTGTATCACAGAATCCACCAAAAAAAGGAATTTGGAGATTTGAAGGAAGCTGAGAGCAATAGAATGTAATTTTTTTTAAGTTAAGCATACATACTTGAATAGATTTTGTATACACTGCTCAAAAAAATTTAAAGGAACACATTTATCAGCGTATAGCATCAAGTCAATTAAACTCCTAGGATATTGATCTGGTCTGTTAACCCCTTTGTGCCAGCGCCTCCCAGCCCTTTAAGAGGTTTCAGAAGTTGGGAGGTGAGGTGGGGTTTTAGGGTCATGTGACTGCCGTGATTTGCTGTCACGGTGGTCACATGATCGGAAGAGCTCGCAGGGCACTCGCTCTCAGCACATAGGTGTTTTCAAATGGCACGCAAATATGTGGCTGCTCGGTGTCAGCCCAGAATCCAAGAGGCTGCATATTTGTGTTGGCTCGGCATCTAGGGGTTAAAGGACAAGTTCACCTTTTAGACAAAAATAATAAATGCACATTTTTTTGCAGGGGGAAAAAAAATGTGCATTTGTTATTTTTGTCTAAAGGAGCCTGGAAAGCATTGCACCAGTGATCAATAGATCGTGATGCCATGCAGGTCTCCTGCAGACCTGTCAGAATATCTGCTTGCTGTACAGGATGTGCGACCAAGCAGATAATCTGATAGCAAGTTTCAATGAACTACCATGGTGCTCCACAGCGCTTTGGTAGTTCAGTAAAAAAGATGCACTGTAAGGCCTTGTTTATCTGTGTGGTGGTGTGTACTGCCCCTCTGAAAAGTGATTAGTGATAGATTGATGGTGATATGTCACCTCCTGAATGAGCGCAGTGATAATTCACTGAAAACTACAAGCCCACAGCCCCTAAGGCTTCTGGGACTTGTAGGCACTCATTCACAGAACTCTGTGAATGAGTGATGTGGCCGTGTCCACATGGCAATGTTGTTTTCAAATCTGACAGATAGTAGGGGCAGACTTCTCCCCGTAGTATCTGTTCAAGGGAGTGAGGGGGGGTAGCAGGCGCGGCTGTGGTCTGGGAACATGTTACGTGTTTCACCTTAAAAACGGGTGGAACACGTAACATGTTCCCAAAGGTGAACTTATCCCTTAAGTAGCAGAGGGGGTTGTTAATCAGTTTCAGCTGCTTTGGTGTTAATTAAATTACAGGTGCACTAGATGGGCAACAATGAGATGACTCCCAGAACAGGAATGGTTTTACAGGTGGAGGCCACTGACCTTTTTTCCCTACTCATCTTTCTGACTGTTTTTCACTAGTTTTGCATTTGGCTAGGGTCAGTGTCACTACTGGCAGCATGAGGAGATACCTGGACCCTACAGAGGTTGCACAGGCAGTCCACCTCCACCAGAATGGCACATCAATACGCACCATTGCCAGGTTTGCTGTGTCTCCCAGCACAGTCTCAAGAGCATGGAGGAGATTCCAGGAGACAGGCAGTTATTCTAGGGGAGCTGGACAGGGGCGTAGATGGTCCTTAACCCATCAGCAGGACCGGTATATGCTCCTTTGTGCAAGGAGGAACAGGATGAGCACTGCCAGAGCCCTACAATATGACCTCCAACAGGCCACTGGTGTGAATGTCTCTGACCAATCAGAAACAGACTTCATGAAGGTGGCCTGACGTCCTCTAGTGGGCCCTGTGCTCACTTCCCGGCACCATAGAGCTTGATTAGCATTTGCCATTGAACACCAGAATTGGCAGGTCCGCCACTGACGATACCGCCTGTCAGACTTGCAGATTGAGTTTAAAGGGACCGTTCTACAACCGCATTCAATGCATGCAATTGCAGCATGTTAGTGGGTCATTATAGAGTCAAATCAGACAGTGATGAAGCAATATAACACCTGCCATTGTCCTCTGAAAAATGATCCGAATGTGGCTCCCTCTTTAGGGGGGCACAAAGTCTGAAGGCGCCCACACTGTGAAGGTGGTGTCCATTCATTCCAAAATCGAATGTTGAAAGCAAAGGAGACTGTGGAGTACTTCCAATTATATTCATCAAGTCATCAAATGTACTGCGAATTTCCTTCCTAGTATAGGACCAGCTCCAGGCTTTGCACGCCTTTTGGTTTGATGCATCTGCAATGTATTTAGCGGATTTAAACGAAAAGTTCAGTTGGAATTTATATAAGAAGGTCACGGTGACAGCCAGGCACCTGGCATTTTAAGGATAGCTCAGCACTAATCTCTTATTGCAGGTCTCCCATTATTTCTGCACATGTCCTTAAGCCACCTTCACCTTCTAATGACAGGAAAATGTCTGCATAGTAAAAATCAGATCTCTTTGTAGTCTCCTTGCTGTAAATAAATCTAATAAATGTGCTGAGAACACGGCCAGGCAATGAGGCTTTAGCTGTCTCATGCTGTTCTCAATGTTACTTAGATGCTAAATATTGCTTTCATGTAGTTGCTTTTGGAATTTTCAGTTCCTGCTAAGCTAAAGTGTAAACAATGTGATAATGAGATTTGTTATATATTGTCTGCGGTAAATTACACCACAACACACTGGAAATATTAAAATCAATAGAGTAACATTTGTGGCTTTTTAATAAGCCTTTTATTCATTTTTATGCCTTCCCTGGTTGTGTCTCTACAACGGATCTGCTGATGTAATCTTTCACAGAGAGCCATCTGAATGTGAAACATTTGTATATTCAGCATCCTTTTCACAATGCCCCAGGCAGCCTGCAGTCACCTTCTGCTGTGTGGCTTTTACCCAGACTCCTCTGCTGGCCCTTACCCTAGGTTCAAAACCTAAGCGTTTTCCAGAAACGCACTACAGTTCATTTAACTTGATTTCCTATGGGACATTTATTTTATTCAGGTACTTGTATAGCGCCACCAATTTACGCAGCTCTTTATATATTGTACATCCACATCAGTCCCTAACCCTCAAGGGGCGTACAATCTAAGACATGTTCACCTCTCTGCGTTTTCACTTGAAGCATTTTTTGGAAAGGGTCAGGGACTTTTTTGAATGCAAAAAGTTGCGTTTTTGGTTCTATAGACTTCAATGGAAACGCTGCAGAAAAGCATGTAGTGCGTTTTTGCTGCGTTTTACGTTTTTAAATCTGCCTAGCAACAAGAAAAGAAAGTCATCAAGAATGCAAGTGCAAAAACGCAACGCAAAACACACTGCAGAAACGGAGCAAACACAGTGCATAGATGTGAACCTAGTCTTACTTTGATTATGCTACTTTTATATTGACGATACTGAACCCTTTTCCTTAGATTTTTCCTGATGAAGGAGCGCAGAAAGTTGAAATGTAGGGAGCGATTTACAGGAGTGCTATACGCATTAGGGCTTATTTAGATGTGCAAAGAAATGTGAGCACCCATTATTGCACCGAATGCGTTAATATACGTTAACAGCACATTTTTAGTGTATTTTGTTGGTATGTTTGCGTTGCATTAAACGCTGGTCAGACGCTCTTCAGAGGACTACCACTTGTGTACACAAGCCCTTATCAGCTGAGGACTTCACTGAGATTTGATATGTGCATTGTAATCTTTAATATACAGGATTGCAGAAGCTCTGTCTATAAAGTTTAGGCTTCATGCATACAATGTATAAGATTTGTCAGTTGCCAGCAAGATCCTACTTATAGAGGAATGTCAATCTGCCCAACACCCCCAAAAAATAAAAATCCCTAACGCTTGGCCCTGCCTTTTTAAAAATAAAATAAAAACCGTGGAATCCAGTATTTTGCTTCAAGGAAAAGTTCTCCAGCACTGCCATCTTCAATCGAGACCTGGCACGTGCACAGACAGGCCATCTACGGGACTAGGCAGAGATGTCAGCGGTGTGTGTGCATGTTCCAGATCACGCTGCACATACACAGACATGCCATGGCTCCCTGCTAGTTCACTGGCTCTGAGATCCACAGGAACATACACACTTATGCAGGCCATAGACTGGTCGAAAATCGGCCGAAAAAAAAACCGGCCGATTTTCGCATCGTTAGTGGATTAATTGGTAGGCTGTTTTTCTGGATATTGGCACTTTTTTTTATCAGTGAAATTGGAAAAAAATCGGCCGATTTTCCCGGCAATGATGGGCAAATCGGCCGATCTTTTTTACCGATAAAAAATCTGCACATGGGCCGTGACCTGCAAGAAAAAGAAGAGAAAGAAGAATTCCAGTCCGTTATTATATTTTACATGAAAAAGTATTGCGGTTGCAACAATGTATCTATTTGTATCCAAATAAAAACATCTGTATCTAAAATGGATACAAATAGATACATTGTTGCAACCGCAATACTTTTTCATGTCAAATATAATAGCGGAGCTCTCTGCAGGGACAGAAGTAATTAAATGCCGACGTAGATGGGACGAAAATCGGCCGTTTTTTGTTTTTTTTTTTTCCACCGTTGGTGGTAACGTCGGCCTATTGAATGACCGATTTTTCATTTTTTTTTTTTTTTTTTAAACTGCCGGTTTTCGACCCGTCTATGGCCTGCATTATGATGTCTCCACATCTACCAAAATAAGTCCTTCACACAGCGCAGATGTAGAATGACCTTGAACTTCAGCCATTCTGAATAAATGAAGGATGAAGTCATTAGCTCCTGCTCTGCCGCTCCTGCTCTGCCGCTCCTGCCTGCGCTCCTG